AGTGTGTACTTATGAGTTGTAACACAGTACATTTCACTACAATAACTATAGGTACCTAGCAATCTTGTTTTAAAATCACTACAATACCATATTTTATGGTTTGTGTCCAGTTGTCCCCTCAAAGCCTTGTGTAGTCATTGGGACAGCTTCTAGTTTGTGATTAACTCATGATCCAATGCTGGCATTATGGATGTGAGTGCTACTTCCTCTCTGGGACGGATGATCTGCATACAACATAAGGAAGGAAGAGAGGCTTGAGGGTTGCCACACTCAGTGCTCCTCCATTTTGGCTTTACTCTTTGCTGATTTCTGCTGCCATGAGCGGCTGTCCTCTCCTATGTGTCACTCTGTTGTGGAGCCAGCCGAGCATGGACTGAAACCTCCAGTAAATGTGAGCTAAATAAACCTTTCCTTTCTTAATTTTGGGTTTTGGGTATTGTGTCCCAGCAATGAGAGAAAAGAGGCACTAAGCTATAGTTCTAGTTACAAATTAGACTCAAAATTGTGATGGGAAACAACCCTTTGGAGACAGCAATTGCTTCAACTACAAAGATGAACATAACTTCGTATTTATTTAGTGTGAGAATAATCTCAGAAATTATAAATAAATATGCACACATATTATTTCTCACTTCACTTAAATTTTCATTTAGTAGCTAGCAATACTATAACCTGCCCTCCATGAATTTTAACAATGGATAATACATTTAGGATTCATCTGATCAATATTTGATAGAATAAATATTATTTGCCTGAGGTCAGAATAGGTAAGGACTAAAGCAATCTTGTTCCTGTGCTAAACTGTAAGACATATTAGTGAGTTTATACCAGCCATCATTGTGTAAATCTCTTCCCCTATTTTACCCTCTCTATGTACATACCTATGTGCATGTTGTGTCAATTATGGACACAAGTAAATATACTGTGACTTACTCTTTTCTGGTTCAAGGACTAAATTATTCCCTTGTGTAAAGAATGATGACAAAACTTCTGGGTGGGTGCTAATAAAACTTACTGGAATGAGGAAGCTGGGTGGACACCTGTTGACTTTCACCACCTGTGCCACCTTGACAAGAAAAATGACAGAAACTAGAGGAACAGAGTCTGTAATATTTAGCTTGATATTTGAAGACCTCCGCCATCGCTGCACCTTAACTCTTTAATGTTTCACTCCTCAGGGAATGTGTTGGCTGTTTTGAAATCATCCCTTCTTTCCCTTAAATAGCTATTTGTCAACAAGGCCCAGTTGATCCAATTAAGCACATCTTTTGAAACCTTGATGACACATCTCTGGTGCTTGATTCATTTAATAAGGATTTTTTCCCCCTTTCTTGTCTCTCATGGCAGGTGGTGAAGCTATCACATTGTAGTTACTATATTAATATTTCACCATAGTTACTATAATCATAACCACTACTGGGCCAGAGAGATAGCTCAGTGGTCTAAAGTGCTTGCTGAGGCAAGCTTAGGCAAGCGCAAGGACAGCAGTTTAATCCCCGGCACTACATGCACAGCCAGCCCTGCCCTCAGGGCAGGCTGACAGGCCACATAATAAAAT